CATGTAATGGTACAAGATCCCAATGATGAATGTAACTGTATTTTATACCTAAAATGTACCAATAAACTTAATGGGAAAATAAATAAATAAATAAAAAGAAGCTATCTTTTCTCCAGTATGCTGCCAAGAATCAGATGGCTGTAGTTGTATCGGTTTATTTCTATGTCCTCTACTCTATCTCATTTGTCTATGTTTTTATTTTTATGCCAGTACAATGCTATTTAGTTACAATGGCTTTGTAGTGTATATGAGATTGCATATTGTGATATCCCACCATTGCACTTTTTGCTCAGTAATTTGTTTCTTATTTTAACAATATTAATTTTGCTGACCCATGATCATGGAAGGTCTATCTTCCAGTATCTTCTTTAATTTCCATTTTTAGTTTATTATAATTTTTATTGTATAAATCTTTTACTTACTTGGGTAGGTTTACTGTGAAGTATTTTTTTCTTTTTGAAACTTTTATGGATGGGATTCTTTCTTAATTTCTTCCTTGACAAATTTGATTTTGATATATATAAAAGCTACTAATTTTTGTATGTTGCTCATGTGTCTTGCCACTTTGCAGAACATGTTGTTCAGATCTAGTTTTCTGCTGGAGTTTTTAGGTTCTTCTAAACAAAAGATCATATTTGTAAACAGGAATAACTTTACTTCAACTTTTCCTATGTATACCTTTTATTTGTTTCTCTTGACTAATTGTTTTGGCTAAACTTTCAAGAGCTACATTGAACAGGAGTGTGACAGTAGACACTTAGCCCCTAATCTCATTTCTGATTTTATAAGAAATGCTTACAGTTTTTCTCTTTCAGTATAACGTTGGTTTTAGATTTGTTATAGGTACCATTTATTATAGTGAAGTAAGATCTTTATATGCTTATTTTATTCAGGAATTTTATAGTAAAAGGATGCTGAATTTTGTCAAAGGCTTTTTCTGTATCTATTGATTGGGTCATATGATTTTTTTCTCTATTCTATTAATGTGATGTTTTCTCCTTATTGATCTGTGCTTGTTGAACAGTAATTTCTAAATGGATATTGTTCTTTGGTATGCCTTATATATCATCATGTACAGAAACGTATATTTCCTATAGTACTGTGACCACATTTTATTATTCAAAATTCTGTTGCATATGTGAATTCTTGTGATGCTGACAAAGCAAGTGAAAAATATCTAATATTCTTGATTTAAAAGAAAACATTTCATAAAATATAAATTGAAGAATATATATCAGGTCAAATAACAACATCATACTTTATAGGTAGAGACATTCTTTCTAAGCCCACAAAAACAAACAAAAACACTATATCTATTAAAGAATGTATATAACATGATATTGGACATGTTAGCCATCACAGTTAGATATTACAGTCAAAGTCTGGTGTTCTGATTGAGTGTGAGAAATGTGACCCAACTCTTCTGAATAGGGCATACCTCATAACAACACATTCAGCTACAATTTAACAGTGGATTAAACCAGTGATGAGAATAGCACCTCTACAATCCAATCACATTCTCAAAGGTCTACATCTGAAAACATGAGACTTTTGGGAGATATTTTAAACCACAATATTCTGCCCCTGGCCCTAAATGGCTCATGTTCATCTCCTTATGCAAAATTCATTTAGCTCATCTCCAAGAGTGTTGCCAAAGTCTGAACAGTTCCAGAATTACTGAAAAATCCAACTGCAAAGTCTCTTCAAAGATTCAAAGCAAACTCCTAGTGGTTCCCAGTGAAAATCAAAAAGATATTTAAATACTTCCAACATACAATAGCACAAAGTAAATAGTCTCATGTCAAAAAGGAGTAGGGGTATAGGAAGGAGTTAGAGCAAAATAAGACAGGGAAAATATATAATCTCATAGCCACGTGTCTAGTGCCCTGTTGTGGTGAGATGTCACCTCCAGAGGGCTTGGGCGGTACCATCCCTAACTTTGCCAGTTGCAGCCCACATAGCTTCTCATTTGTGCTGGCTTCACTTGTGCCTGCATCTTTCCTCAGAAGCTGTTGCACATTCCTGGAATCTCCAAATTCCTGTGGTCTGTGGTGCACTGTTGGCTTCACTCTAATAGCTTTGTCATTATCCTCTCAGGCCTGGCCTCCCTGACCTTCCTTTGAAATTGGGGTAGAATAATCTATAAACACAACTCTTGCATTCAACATGCCAGAGAACTCAGCACAACATGTTTGATGCCAAGGCCTAGCATGGTTGCAATAGCCTCCAAGTACCTGAAGGGATGAAACATTTCCCTAGGCAGCCCTGGATGAACAGGGCACTCTAAGGTTCTCTTCTCAAAGCAAAATCCTTCAAACGTGTTAGCCCTTGTTATAACTTATATGTTGATGTCCCCCAAAGGCTCATGTGCTCATAGCTCGGGATTTTGGAGGTGGCTGGATTGTGGGTATGTGATACTGGATTAGTCCACTGATTGACTTAGCATAGTTTTGGGTGTGGATGATGCATTTACCAAAGAAGGAAGATACACCCTGAGTGTGGATGGCACCAACCAATTGGCTTGTATTCTGGATTGAATAAAAAGGGAAAGAAAGAGAAAGTCTCAGTGTCTCCTGAATGCCATGCCATAAATTGTATCTCCTCTGCCATGCTCCTCTGCTGTGCTGCCCTGCCTTGGAACCAGCTGAGTATGGACTGAAACCTCTACAAATTGTGAATTAAATATTTTTCTTTAACTTATGAGTGTTAACTATGTTTGTCCTGGCAACAAGAAAGTAACTAAGGCAACCCTTATACCTAGGAAGGGTTATAATCTGGGCAATAGGGATGGGGCCAATTTCAGAGATACCTTTAAGCCATCTTTCCTATTGTTCTGATGCTAAGCAATTGGCTTCTTTTTAAAGGTAATCTTTTCAGCAACCATATTCTCTGTGGCCTCAAATTTGCAAGCATTTAATTTCTGGTAAAACGGTTAATTTTTTACATCTTTGGCTTTACTATCAGCATCTGATTCTCACTAAAAATCTTGCTACAAGCAGGCATCAGTACCCATGGCACAGCCTGAACATTGGTCTTCTCTGAAATTCCTGTTCCAGATCAATTTATTTTCCATTTTGAAATCCAGCCTCACAAAAAGGCTTAAAGCATGAGTAAAGTTGACAGGTTCTTTGCTAGAATTATTCTACTCCATTTTTCACTACAGTCTTCATTGCCATCTGAAATCTGTTAAGGTTAGAAATTACTTTCTGCATTCCTTCCAGCATTCAGCTCTTCTGAGATCTGACCAGGACTGTTTATCAAGCTCTGCTTTCAACAGTATAGGGATTCTTCAGCCTCTATTTCACATTTTCCCCAAAACCTCTTACAGACCAGTTCCAAAAACTTTCAAATCACATAACCAGCTATAGTCACAGCAACAACACAATTTCTCTGGTATCAGTTCTCTCTATTACTCACTTTCCATCACTGGGACACAACACCAAACACCCACAACTTAAAGAAGGACACGTTTGTTTTGGATCACAGTCTGTAGTTGTCTGGTTCCAAGGCAGAAACAATAAGACAGAAGGACAGGGCCAAAAAAAGTTTCTCAATCCATGGCAAGCAGGAAACAGATAGTGAAGGAAGGGAACAGGAAAAACAATACACCCTTCCAGGTCAAACCCCCAGTGACCTCCGTCTTCTGAAGAGACCCCACCTCCTAACAACACATTTGTCTAGAACTCAACAATATATTAATACACTGATGACACTAGCACCCAGATGAACCAATCGCCTTCCAAAAGTCCCACCTTTGAATATATGAGATTTGGGGGTAAATTTTTGATCTAAGCCATAACAAAAAGCAAAGCTTTTCTTTGGGTGATGGTTATTTTTCTCATTCCATTCCATAATGTAAATAACTTAAGTATTATAATTTAATTATGGCTATATTATATGTAGTTTAAAATTATAATGTAGATTAATACTACTATATGTAGATTTAATACTTAAATACCAATATTAAGTGAATCAAAGTTATGCTACATAGTATAAGAATACAAAGAAAAAAGATATTTGCTTCATATGTGGACCTTATGGATAGGTATGGAGAAAAAGACATTTTTGAAATCAATATCTGCATAAGAGGTACCAGGAGATGTGTTAATATGCTTAAGCATGAAAACCACATCTGGTATAGCACCTATAATTAGAGTTACCACTTGATTAAGCTTATGGTAATCCAATGTAACTTGCCAAGATCTATCCACCTCTTGCACAAGCCAAATAGGAAAGTTAAAAGGGAATTTAGTGGGCAAAATTAACCCTGCATCTTTTGGGTCTGTGAAGGTGGCACTAATCTCTACAGTCCCTCCAGAGATGCAACACAGCTCCTCGTTTACTATTTTTTCAAATAGAAACAGCTCTAATTGGCCTTTCTTCACCTTAGTAGTCCCCACTCTACAGTCCAGGGAGCTGATGTGGCAATTCTGCCAGTCACTAAGTATATTTAACCCAATTATTCATTTTAAAACTGGGGAAATGACCACAGAATGGATTAAGGGACCCATTGTGAGCTGAATCTTGGCTAAAACTTCATTGATCATCTCGGAGTTCTAGGCTCCTACTCCTCCTGGAGGACCACATTGAGGTTTTTTTAATCTCCTTCAATCAGCACTAGGTGAGAAAGAGTGTCCAGTACTCCCTACCTAAAATATCCCATTATTCCCTCTTCTCTAGTGTATGGTACCCTAGTAAGTGTTTTATGTCCCTTTGAAGAAGGATGGGAGAAAAACTAATGATATGTCTTTTTGGCTGTGCAGAAGTGTTCTTCCTGAAGGAAACTTGACCCACCCTTCACTCAAGGACTTCTGTTTGTAAACTGATTTAAGTCTAGCAACTGGTTACAGGGTTGTGATTTCCTATTGTTATACTTAAAGGTAAGTATCTTTTAATTTGTCCAAAAATTTTTCTGCTTATATTGGTCTGGTAAAAATTTAGTAGACTTCCTATCTATTTCATTTCTAGGAACACCATCATTAATTAGTCTTATCATTCCTTTTTACTGCAGTCTATTATGGTAAGTATATCCACTTTGCCATTGGTGGTTAACTACTGGAACTCTGTAATCCAGTTATACACATTGGATTTGTGTTTCCCAATCAAGTGACTATAGTCCCCATCACAAATTTGGCATAGAGAAGATCAATAATAGATCTCTTCAAAGATGCTGATGCTGCCCTCACAAATCTATTTCTTAAGATGTTAGTGAGGTTACATTTTTGGGGTCCTCTGGGTGTGGAAGAATAGGTTTTATCTGGCAAATCCATTCTAGTATTCCCATTTCCCTAAGGCTTTGAATACTCTGTTCAAAAAATAAATCAAGGTATATAAAGCATCTCCAGTTAATTCACAATAGGCTGTCTGTTGATCCATGTTTTAGCCAACTAACCAAATAAACTATTAGCATCTTTGTAAACTCCAATACTGGTGATATTAAATTCAGTTTAATTGACCTGTATAAAAAAATTCAGTGTAATCCAAGTTTACATTTCTTCCACAACTATACTTAACCTTTAAAATCCATGACCATACCTATCCCTTAGACCTCTGTTTGTAAAAAGTAGAAAACTCAAGAAGTTCTTTTGCAGTTTGGCAATGTCCTCATAGGTCATAGTGTGTGCCTCACCCTTAGGAATCTTCAGAAATTGAGCCTGATTATAAGCCTAGAGGAAAATGGGTGATGAGAAGGTGTTTAGGATCATTGGCATTATCTTCCTTGGTAATTGGATCAGAAAAGGTCATTACTACTTCAATAGGCAGTATTGGGTTAGTTTCTTCACAGAAGGGAGAACACCAACACCAGAGTGGGCAGGGGTGAGGAGAATGGATGTCTCTGCCACCAAAGGTAGGGAAATGTCTTAGTCCCTTTCTTTATGAATGAGACACAATACTTGACACCCACAGCTTTAAAGAGGAAAGATTTATTTTGTCTCACAGTTTCAATACATAAAAAGCAGGCTCTGAGACAGGAAAGCACAACACAGGAATAAGGCAGAAGAAAAGCTACTCATGGCATGCTGGTAGGGAAGCAGAGAATGAAGAAAGGAGCTGAGGAGGGAGACAAATACAGTGATGCATGTCTTCCATCCAGGCCCCACCTTCTAAAAGCAAGACAGTATAAATCCCCATATCCAATCACCAATAAAAAGCTTCACCTTTCAGCAGCCTTCTAGGCTGTCCAACCACCACTCCCAGTGCTGAGGAGCAGAGCTGCCCCCAGTACCAAGGAGGAGCCTTCCGGGCCACCATACCACAGCCACCAGCGATGAGGAGTAGAGCTGCCCACAGCACTGAGGAGGTGAGCCATGCAGGCACCAGCAGCACACAACTCCCCCCAACCCCATGTTGGAATGAGAAGACATGTAAATAAGTTTCAAAACCAGACTTGCAGATCACCCAAAGCAACACAAAAGGGAAAAGAGATGGAAGAATCCAATACTCAAACACCTGGATTCCCTGAACTGACAACAAAAGAGGATCTGGAAAAAATGAAATCAGAAATAATTTCTCAGATAACAGCAGAGATTGTGCCCTAGTGCAAGACATGATTAATAAATCTGGACAGGACAAAGATTTAAAAAAATAGAGGAGCTGAGGAACATGATGGAATCCCAACATGGGAAATGACTGGAATCCATAAAACATATGCAAACATATTTCCAGGAGATTAAAATCTCCACTGAAAGTTTACACAGCAGAATGAGACAATGTGAAAACAGAATTTCAGATATACAAGACAAGATTGCAATTAGTGACCCGGAAAAGAAAAATGTCTTTAAAATAGTAAGGGACCATGAGAAATCAAGCAGCAGCTGCTAGACTATGCAAAGAAGAATAATGTAAGACTGATCAGAGTCAATGAAGAAACAGACAGAGTGCAGATGACATAAAAAAAAAAAACTGTTCACAGAACTGATGGCAGAAAACTTCCCAAGCAGGAGAAAACAACTTGACACACATGATTTTTAAAAAAATCTACACATAGGCATATAATAGTCAAGATTCCAGAAACCCAGCAGAAGAAAAAAATTCTACAAGCAGTTAAAGAAACAAATCACATACAAAGGAAAGCCCATCAGAATCACAGAAGACTTCTCAATGCAAACACTCAAGGCAAGAAGAGCTTGGAGTGATGCATTTCAAGCCCTAAAGGAAAACAGCTTCCAGCCCAGACTGATGTACTCTGCAAAACTATCTTTCAAAACTGATGGAGAAATAAGATACTTTCATGACAAAGAGTACCTTAGGAACTTTATGAATACAAAGCCAGCACTCCAAAAAAGTTTTGGAAAATATCCTAGGAACAGACAATGAGGATCACAACCCCAGGAAGCAGAGCAGAATGAATCCATCTGGCATGACAAGAAATTAAATGCAAAACGGGAGAATCCAACAAAAAGAAAAAGTCATGACAATGATAAGTCAATATGTATCAGTTATAACCATCAATGGTAATGGTCTCAATTCACCAATCAAAAAAATAGACTGGAAGAATGGGTCAAGAAGCAAGATCCAACAATATTCTGCATACAAGAAACACACTTAATTCAAAAAGAAACTCAGACTGAAAGTTAAAGGTTGGAAAACAATACTCCATGTGACAGGAACCCCGCAAAAAGCAGGAGTAGCTACCCTCTTTGCAGATCAAGTGGATTTCAAACCAACACTGATTGAGACAAAGAAGGACACTTGTAAAGAGAACAATCCAACAGGAAAAGATGACAATCATAAATATCTATGCACCAAACACTAGTGCACCCAACTATATAAAACAAATACTAATGGACAAGAAAAATCAAATAAGCACTAATACAACAGTAGAAGACTTCAATACTCCACAGACACAAATAGATAGATCAACTAGAA